AGTAAGAAGTTTACTTAGTTTATAAATACTATAGGAACCAAGGTCAAAATCGTTCCTATAGAAGCTTATAGTTCTATCGGAATTATAGAATACTACTATAGCCTAATTTAATATACTTATCTTATTATTATAGCCAAAATTAATAGAATTAATAAGAATACTATATTTCAAATAGCTTTTAAGGCTATTAATAATTCTGCTAGACCTAATAATATTATCCTAACTTTCTTAGTTTATAGTACTTTACCCTAAATAACCGAATATAATATTCTATTACTAATTATATTATAGTAATTAGTAGTACTTAAGAAAATAATAGTAGAAATTCAGAAGCTTTAAGCTAGATACCAGATTATAAATACCCTAAATACCCGAAATAGTCCTAGTACTACTAATATCTATAAACTTCCCTTAAATTCGGATATTTTTATATAATATAAAAGAAATACTAGTTAACCTAGTAATTAGGATAGGCTATATAAGCTAGTAGCCATTAATAGAAAGAACTATATACTAGCTCTATTATATAGTAATACTACCTTTTACTTAATCTCTATAAAGCCCTTTTATATAGGAAATATTAAGATTATTACTAATAGCCCTAAACCTAAACTTATTTCCGAACTTTATAATAAGGCTAAAGATAATACAAATATAATTTCTCCTGCTATTTCTGCTATTTTACTAAAATATAATAAAGAATACTTTTATAAAAACCCGGATTTTATAGTATTCTTATAAGATAATAACTTATACGAGAACTCTTATTAAGTTAAAATTACTAGCTTTCTAGAAAAAGATATATTTAAGATTACTTCCAGATCTCAGATACTAAAGGAAATATATATCTTTAATTTCCGGTTTATTAATAAGATTAAGAATAAGGATATAGAGAGAGAGTTTAAGAAATTAAGACTAATTATCCAGGCTTATAATAATAGTAAAAAATATATAATATTAATATAATTACCTACTATTTAATATATTAGCCAGAGAATTATTCTTAGTATTACTATTATAATAATAGATATTATAGAGCTATATTTATATAATATCTTATAAGCTTATATCTAATTAATAACCTTACTTAATTATAATTTTTATATTAACTCACTTTATAAGCTTACTAGAAAGCTAAATCTAAATAATAATTCGGTTCTAAAGGTTATAAAACTACTATATAGTATACCGGAAGCTAGGAACTACTAGTTTAAGACTTACTATTCCTACTATATTAATGAGCTTTCTATAAAATAGTTAACTTATAATTCTTGCCTCCTCTATAGCAAGTAATTCTTCGGAATTATTAGCCTTTAAACTAATAATACTCTATTTATTAGAAATAATGATTTTGCGAAAACGGAGTAACTAAAGCTTTAAGAGATTAAGTTTTTGGCTAAGAAGTATAAATGCTTTATTATTAACTATAATCTCAAGTTTAATAGAGGTATTATTTATATAAATATTACTAGAATTACTCTTATATAAAAATACTAGTATAAAAACCTCCGAACCGTTTCTATAAAGAATACTATTACTATAAGTAGTAGGGGTACTATTTATTAAAATCTCTCTATTAAGGACTAATATATTACCTAATATACTAGAGGAGTATATATTATATTAGTTTATTAATTAGAAGCTTTATATAACCTATTAATTACTGCTTAAGCTATTAAACTCTCGGAAACTAATATAAAGGTACTTAATAAGTATATTTAATAGTAAATTGAGAATGCTGCTAGAGAACTGAGATTCGTAAAGCTAGTAAAGAAGTCCTTATATTTAATTATTTTTACAAATACTTCATTTATAAATAATAGAGATCTCTTCTCCCAAATCGGATATATTCTAGTTCTAGTAGACGGAACTAAATATACTAATATTATTTACTAGTTCTCTACTAAATATAAAAGAATTACTAGAAGCATTCTAGCTTCGGAACTCTATAATATGGCTTATAGCTTTAATATGAGTACTTTAGTTAAATCTATAATTAATAGAGTACTAGAAATAGAACTATTACTAGTAGTCTATACGGATTCGAAGTCATTATACGAATGCCTTGTTAAATTAGGAACTATTCGAGAAAAGTAACTAATAATTAATATAATATGCCTTTACTAGGTATATAAATAATAAGAGATTATAGAAGTCAAATGAATTAAGGGAGAATTAAATCCTGCCGATTTCATAATAAAATCGAAGCTAATAAATACCCTCAAATACCTAATTAATACGAATACTATATAATTAGATATAGAGGAATGAATCAAGTATAAATAGAGCAAGAAATGGATATATGAAATAGGAGGATATTATAGAAGGGGAAATCATATATAAAAGGCTATAGCCTTTAGTATATAACTAAAACCTCAGAAGTAATATGGATATATAGAGTATTTGAGAAATCTGGTACTAGGCCGAATTAGGGAATTTGTATATAATTAGAGGAAGATACTATTTTTTGCGTTTTTAGAGAGTTTCTAGTATTAGTATAGCTATTTCTTTGGGAGTTATATATATAGTTACGGGATACGGAATACGGGATATAGGCAATGGGATATAGGTAATGGGATATAGGATACGGGATATGGTTATGTAACCTCGTATCCCATTAGTAACTCGACTAGTAGACTAGACCCCTTTAGGCTTAGCAGATTTAGGGATTACATATTAATATTATAATACTATAATCCCTACTTCTAAATAATAATAACTTTACTAACTAATATAACCAGTATTTCCACGCCTATATAACGGTGCCATGCATTACTAGTAAACCAATACTATTATATTTTATTTCTTTTATTTTTAACTTTAGATTTTAATTAATAAGATCTAGAAATTATTATATTTCATTTTAATATATTAGCTTTATTATTATAACTAGTACTATACTTTTACTTACTTTAATTATCTTTATATATAAGTATTATAATAAGAGTTTTAACTTCTCTAATTATATAATATTTATAATAAATAATCTATATATATATATTACTTTATTTCCTTTTTCTCTTTTTAGAAATTAATTAACCTTTAAATCTTTATTTTTATTAATATTAATTATATATTATTTCAAGAAATAAAAGAGTATTTATTATTTATATAACTTTTATATAATAATTAAAAATAATTAAATATATTTAATTATAATTAGTTTAATAATTAACTTTTTTTTCTTAAAGGTTAATAATTAAATAATAATTAATTACCTTAATTATTCTTTAATATACTAAATTTAGTATAATAGTACTAGCTAGTATTATATAAGGTTAGTAGTTACTTAACTAGTTTTACTTGTTAGGCGGGCGTTTTAGTCGTTTCAGTCGTTTTAGCTTGTACTTCTCTCTTTATTTACTCTTTCTCTCACTCTCTCTTCTCTTTAGCTTTATATTCTACAATACAAGAAATAGAGATCTTTACGCCTCGTTCCAATTGCTCTAGCTCCGCCGCCACACCTAGCAGGTCGACATTCAATCCAAACCTCTCATTGAGTATTAGCAACCCCTTGGTCTTCACACTTACCAGGCGACATGACATTCTAGTATCCTCTTATTAATATTGTACTATGTCGTCGACGCTAGTAACAGCTAACGCGCGTATTGCAAACAGGTTGAATACAAACTGACTTTGAATCTCTCGGACGCTGAACCCCGTTATAACTTGGCGATTCTCAAATATTGCATTTAGCATCTCTTCTGAGGTTTCAAGCGCTCTCCCTCCATCTCTTGTCAAGATATCTAGATTCGTTATGCTAGTCGCAAGAAGCATCAATTTGTTTCGGAAACGTCGAAGTTCTATATGATAGGCGCAGAAGCTAGATTGTCCTGAAAATGGTGCTTGAATATGATTTCATCGTTGTCGGAGGCGGAACAGTGGGACTAGCCGTAGCAAATCGACTCACCGAGAACCCAAGTGTTCAAGTTCTGGTCACCGATGCTGGTGAAGACCGCGCCGGGGACCCAAGAGTCAAGAAAATAGCTTCATTCGGCAGGTTGTTTGGAAGGAAACTGACTGAAAGTTTATGAGCCAGCCCCAGGTTAGTTATTGCACGGAGTCAAGAAGAGGCTTTGGCTTAATGACTCAAGATAGCCATTGGTCAATGACAGGGGGTTTAACTTCAATCAAGGCATGGTTCTGGGTGGCTCGAGTGCGATGAACGCTTGCGTCTTTGTGCCTCCTCCGAAAGTGGTGACCGATGGGGCACCAAAATAAACCCCTGAAATAAGCGATGTCAGCCAGTTGCATGAGCCACAAAATTAAGCGATTCCGACAATTTCTCAACCTCTCCGAAACACACCTGCTAAAGAATCAACTCTTGCGGTCATCCATTCGCATAAGTAGTGCTCAGTTGCTGAGATTGCCCGCCGTTTTCCTCGTGTTATGCTGTGTCTATGAGCTACAGCTTCGTGTTCCGATGTCTTCTGATGGATTACTCCCTCCTTCAGGAGAAATAAGGCTGATGCCTGCGAAGCAACTCGCCGAGGTATGCAATGGTTCTCTTTTCGAATGACTCCGAATTAAAGTGAGGTATAGGCTACGGAAGTCGGTGATGATTGGACAGGCATTAATAACACGAAGGAGCGAAAATAGAGACAGAATCGATTGAATCAAAAAGCTTACCGTGAGTCCCCAGTCCTTGTCCACTGTTTGAACCGCAAATTCGGCTTTCGGAGGTGGAGCACTTGCATGATGTCGTGAGAATCTGTTGCCTAGTACCTCTGTATTATGTCGAATTAATATACGAAACAGCTAACGATGCTCATCAGGCAGGCGCAAGCTCTCAAAAGTACGAGCGACGGTGGTGCTAGCTTTCCAGCTCACAGTCCAGGACCAGACACACAGCAGCCTCCCCAATCCAGCTTCTACATTGATACTTCGGGTGTCCTCGCTCAATCGTCCAGCCAGATGCTCATACTGAGAGTCATCAAGGGACTTCAGCCTCGAGCGCTTTGATTCTCAGTGACATGGACCGGGCAACCAATCCCAATTCCTTCCCACTGAGTCTTGACCATGCACTTCTTCCTGTCATAGCACTCAACGTCGCGCGCGGTATTTTGATAAACTACTGAATTATATTAGCCATGCAGACTTCCACGTCCTCACCTTCTAGTTGCCCTGGTCTAGGCGTCAGTAGTAGTATTGTTGGTTTCCTGCCGGAGTCTCTTATTCCTACATCCCTCCAGCAACAGACCCCCCATTTCTCCTGGATTGACTTGTTCCCCTCTCGAAAGCTACGCGACAATCTGATCTCAGCGTTCGTAGAAGGACTTATAGATGAAGGAGGTTTGGTTGCCGATTTGACTGGGAATATATTGATGAGTTGGATTGCAGTAGCCCTGCAGCCCAAGTGGCATCTGAAAAGTTGATTGAATCGGGGCCATTGAGTAAGGCTGATGAAGTATTATTTGTTTCAACTGGGTGTTCAAATAAGTTTGCAGCTCGGGAGCTCGGTATCGTGGCTTGGTCTAACCCCTGGCTTACCAGTGGATTGGAGATTACTGAAGCCTTCGCGCAGAAGCGGGGTTTTCTGCTGAAAGGATGCACGGATATTGTTTTTGCGGCCAATCAATGGATGGAAAGGAGAGATGAAGAGCCATTGGTGGTTGTGGTGTAGAAAGAAAGCATATGAGTAATGCAAAATCCAAGATCCCCAATGTATTGGAAACACGGTGAATCCATAATTACCTGTCCGCGGGGGTTCAGATCTGTCTGCAGAACTCTGAATTTCTCAAGTGAATGTAGAAAGGCTTCAAAAGCACCCAATCTGGTTGACTTTATAGGACCCTCTTTCACGGCACGGGTTCGTATAATACTTGCGGGAAATAAAATTAAGAAAGGCGGGTCTTGGAATAGCACCAAGGAATAGCTTGAAGGACCAAGCGACATACCACCACGCTTCAGCCGAGTGCGATCTACCACGCCTCGACTAATTGCTAAGTATGTAGGGATGTTTGGACGGAGCAGGGATCAAACAGTGTTCAGGCAAGTCTATGCAACTGGATTATATTAAATAGAAACAATTGTCCCATCAGCATAGTCCACACGAGCGACATCCTTGCCGTGGATGTATCGAAACCATCCAATAATATAGATATCATTCTGTCCCTGCCATGTCAAACATGTAACGGATGATATAAACCCGCCTGACGTAAGTAAGTGCATTTTGGATCAGAGAGGGAGCGGGCCAGCTAGAAATCCATGCGGATCTCAATGAGTTACAACACACTGTAAGAGTTGCCCTATGAAGACTCATTAAGTATTCTCTCACCTCGATTGAGTTGGCACTGGAAGTTGTGCTGCAGTCTTCGATAGCTTGGTTCGAGTGTATTATATTGCAACCGCTCTCCCTCCCCAAATTCCTTGTCATGGCGCAAAGTTTCCAGAAAGCACTCTTAATTGCCGTGGAGCAAAAATGTTACTCCTCTCCATGGCTTCGTTCGTTCTTCCCAGCTTTTCCTTTTTAAGATTCGGAGCACATAGTACAGAATCGCTTTATTTCAATCAGGAAATCCCTACCTCAGGTGTTGTAGCCGTGATAACCTCGGTGAGGCAGCTCCTAAACCCTTCTTAGCTTTCTAGAGAATCATTTAAGCAGCCCAAGAAGCCACTGCGACGACGTATCTCTTCGGTTGTCCAAAATCAACCTGCGATTCAGTGGTCTGCTTCTTTCGTAGTCATTCGCCTTCATCCAAGGTCCCATGACAGCTATATACCCCTCTATTACTAGTCCTCTGTTTGTTTCCCCACTTCTTAACTATTCTAGAGATAGCCCATAGATATCTTTCACGTTGAAGGTTAACTAACCCTATTCTTCTATATTTCAGAAGCACAACAGTGAAATGTTCACTCGGCGGTACCACGATCGCAGACTGTAGCTACACTTTCTGTGACCGCCAACCTATCTTCGACACCACCACACATCACGACTCTTACTTTAGCTGGCGTAGATGTTGCTTTGTAATCCACCCCCTATATTTATTGTTGCGGGCACAGATGTTATCGAATCGACGCTCGCTTCCTAGAGTCTTCCGATTTGCACCGACAGAAGTACTCCTACGCTAACAAATGAGAGTCCAATAACGACAACAGCTCCAACATCGAGTTCCCCAAAGCATTGCTCCATCTCCGGTCTTCGCGTCTACTTCAACATCTACCTCAAAGAATGGCTCACCTCAGAACACTCTCCAGGCTTGGACCGTGGGAGGGGTAGTAGCGTTGCTGTTACAAATCTGGAATAAAGTAGTGCCTGACCAAGTGGCAGTCGGATTAAAAATTGCAGTCAACTTGCTCCCTGTTGTCCGATAGAATACGTCTAAGCCCACCCAGACCAGGCACTACACTTTGTTGTAGGTCGAGCGTATTGAACAGAAAGGGGTCCAATCTTAGCAGCCTTCGGAATCTGCTGGGCGGCAGTAGTCCAGAGTAAGGGTGGTTGAGGGCACGCTATTCTTCCAGATTTTCCCCTCGATTTCCTGTTGTTAGATTGTAAAGAAGCGAGTACTGTCTATAATTTACATACCGCTCCAGCAGTAACGCACGTGGATTGTGAGGTTGGAATTTGAAGGCGTTCGGGAGATGGCCTTCCCTTTACGTCAATGGCAAGTCCAACGCCTACATCCGCATTCACCGAGAACCCCGCACCCAGAACTGTGAATCCCACATCATAATCCGGGATGAGAATCAGATTTCTGGCATAAGCTCCTAGCGTTCCATCCTTGGTGTAGAAGTCCACAGCACGTCTTGTTCATGCGAGGGCCAAGCAGATCTAACGGTTCTATTCTCGTAAAGAGCACAAGATGAAGTCGTCACTATTCGCAACTCTTCGATGGTGTCTCTTTTTACGTGTTGATGTCAAGTTTTGATATTGCGAATAACTTTCCTTGCAAATATTTGGACCGGGGGCGATTCAAACATCCCATGTGCGTTTGTTAGTGGTTAATTGCACGAAGTCATGGCTATTCGAAGCTTGCTGCGTCTATTTTGGAAACGCTCGAGTTGTGAACGGCCCTTGTAGATGGTCCCCATGGCCGCCCCTTTTGGGAACAAAATCTGCATGAATGGGACTGAGTCATGCCGACAGACTGAACAACGTTGATCTCCTTCTCTCTTCCTTATCAAGATCCGGAACTTGGCTTCATTAACGGCTGGGCTCTAGGGGGGAGCTCCACGACAGCGCTCGAGAACGTAGTCGTTATTGGGAGAGGATTTAGGCTTCTGTGCTAAAGCTTTAACGATACCTAGCGGCCGGTTTTGAAAGAGGAATGGCCGCTGCATATGGTTAAGCCACGGGGTCTTATTGTCCTCGCGACGCGAATACTCTTGGCTCGCATGCCACACCACCTGTGTCCGGGCTTGCGGGTGCTCGTCCTTGGCTGCTTCTTACACAAGCAGGATCTCGTCATGGACGGGACGCAAAGGTATGCTAGACAATCGAATAAGATGAGCCTAGATTGAAATCAATTTCTTTAGGTTAATAATACCTCGCAAGACACGCAAGCATTAAGACAAAAACACAAGAAGAGAAGAGATTCCTCGGGGGAACGTGCCCTCTGCTACATATGCATCTGACGTGCCTTCCGTGATTTCTTTTAAAAGACGTGTCTCTTCGATAAGAAATGGAAATAAGAGATGCATTTTCGATGAAAGATGATCATATTATCACGCTTTAGTGAATTTTTGGGGAAAGATGAACATGTGCAATCTCGTTTTGGACGGGGAGTCTGGGGACAACATCGTTTTCGGGCGAAAGCGGGAAAACGGCCGATTGGAAAGGTAGAAAGTGGTCTTTTCAAGAAAAATGCAACCTGCTATAGGGATGTATGAGAAGCAAGAACGCGCGTCTAATGCCGGCTCGGTGAATGCATCGTACGATAGTTGCTGTCTCACCTAGGGCTACCTAGAGAGTGTTGCTAGGCAAGCTGTTGAGAGAACTATTAATGCAAGAAGGATCCCACAGGAAAGCGACGAAAGACAAGTTCAAGACAATTTCGTTTCTTCTATTGTGATAATCGCTTGACGTACTCAACCGGCCCACGGTATATGTTCTTTGCTTTGAGGAAGTAGTATATGAGCGCTACGACGATAACGAATCCCGTTATTAGAATATTCCAATTCATTGCCGCTGCATTCGGATGCGGGGAAGCCGGGAAGAAGGGAAACACAAATGCCAGAGTCAAGAAGCATAGCGCAATGGTGTTGATCGCTAGACCGGCTCGTCCAAGGCTGAATCTAGATGGTAGAAGGGTTTCTCCCATTATTCGCTTCCTCGCAATGCAGGCGATAGCAACAATGTACGAGGCGACGGTCCCAACTTGACCGATTGAGATGATGATATTGAACGCGATGGTGGAGCCGATGATGATAAGACTGAGGAGTGTGCTGAACATCAAAGTTGCCAGCACAGCGTTTAGAGGAATATCCCAGTTTGGACGTACCTAAAACTGTCAACACGTTTTCGCTGTGGGAATTCAGCGAACTTACATAGGCAAGGGTACTTGAAAAGGGAAGTCCCTTATCCCGGGCGAAGGCGAAGAGCTGGCGAGAAGATGTTGTGACCAAATTGACAGCTGAGAATAGGAGCAAAATAGCTACTAGTGCCGTCAGGATCGATGTCCCAACACGAGACTGAGTCGCATTCAAGACAACTTGGATGTAGGGCTGGCCGGTCGTGGTGGTGAGGACTGAGGTTACATCACCGAGAGTTGACATGACGGTAATTGTCATGACAAATCCCAGAATATAGTTCACAGTGGCAGTGGCTACCATGGACCTTGGAAGCACGTATGAGGCGTCTTTCAGCTCTTCGGACAGGTGGCATGCTGAATCTGCTCCAATCAAGGTAATAACGGGACCGGTCATGCCAACCAGACAAGATAGACCAATACTTCCCCAACCGCCATTGTCCTGGAAGTCGGTCCAGACTTCTTTAGGATCGGACCGTGGAGCCATGACCCACAAAACGACGACGAAGGCAAAGAATCCGAAGATGTGTAGGATGACTATAATGCCTTCGACCAAGGGAAGCTTTCTCACGAGCACAGTGTTCCACACCATAGCAAAGATAGTGACACCAATACTAAGGAGGGTTCCATGCCATCCTTGAACAACATAATTGGGTACATTCAAAGCGATGAGCCCTTCAAATTGTTGAGCACACGCAAAGGAAATACTGGCCATGGCGGCTTGCCATCCAATCACAGCAAACCAACCTTTTTTTTCATTAGCAACCACTTCGGAATTGAAGAATGTTGGGATACCACGTACCGACCATGTAGCTGAGGAATTTCTGATACTTCGGCGGCGCAAACTCAGAAACCCAGTGATATTGTCCTCCGGAGGTTGGCGCCCTATATCAGTCAGCGATGTGTAGCAACGCGGCATAAGAGACTGGTTACATCGAGGCCATTTCCGCCATGGATAGGACCACGAAGTACATTCCCACACAAACAACGAAAAACATCCAAATGCCACCGGCTGTCCCCCCGTTGGTCAACGAGAGAGCCACGATGCTGTAGTTGGATCAGCCAGGTCCAAATCATACAATATGAGGGCCGTACACGAGTGCGAATTCCCAGGTTGCACCGAGGACCACCGAGTATCCGAAGATGGATGGGAAGCGAAAGTTCCGCTGGTAAAAGCTTCAGTCAATGCGCCTCTGCACAGTGCAAACAAAAGACCTACTCTCAATTGTGGCAATTTGCCCATGCGGTTCATGTCCCGAGTATCAAATTCAGTCCCCCGCTTCTCTGACGTCACAAGATCGGCGTCGTCGAGTACATCGCCATTGCCAAGGCTGTCCTCGAGCACGGCGTCGCCTGGTTTTTTCGACATGATCGCGCAAGTAAGTGAGAGCTCGAACTCTAACACGAGAAGCTAGGAAGCACAGCTAGATTTACGGCCGAGGTGTGGGAGGGAAGAGCCTAACTTTAAAAAAACGAATGGTCCTCACTCCACTCCCTCTTTCCCCGCACCGAATATGCAACCCTGCGAATGAGAGGCTGGGACGGGCATAAGGACGGACGCTATTCTGAGTCGTGCCCATTGAGCGGCCGACGTTGCAAGCCCACGGCCGAACAGCCCCAATGGAGTACGTTTACCTCCGTACGGACCGCGGAACGCTGGAACCGAGTTCGATGCGTCCTCGCTGTGGTAAGTTTACTTGGCTTGCATCTCGATTGGAGCTCTGAAGGCAAAACCTGGAGAGTCCCAGCAGCTTGACTCACGCATGAGTTGGGTCGGGCTGGCCCGCCCCCGCTGTTTGTGCAACCAAACCCAATCCTCTTTCAGGACCAGTTGATTCTGTCGATGCCTCCACTTTTTGGTGGAACATTGTGCGCCTCAGCTGGAGAGACCTTGACATGCCTTTGAGCCCTCCCAGGAGATGATCCTTGAGAAATCATCTCACGGTCTCACCAAGCCTAGAAGGCTCCGCCCCTATATCAAGGGTGTCAGGAGCCAGGGTAGTGTGCCAATATGCTGGGTTTTGGGGAACAAGACGCTAGGCTTTGTACGAAAAGGGCTTCAGCAAATGAAGATCACCTCCCTTGTAGGCGGTTATGCATCTTTCTACCATTTTCCTTTCGGCGTATTCAGCCAAGTGTTCTTCACTCTCTGAAACCCCCTTTCGAGCAATTTGTTTTCTGCACCTATCCAATCGACGGGCGGCAGCACAAGTAGCAGGCATCCTTCCCCACCAAAAAAAACAAAACAAACCTGCAGCCCGACCGGTCGGATTTCAGCCACATCGCCAAGTGCGGCATAATCTCCACGTGGATTCAGTAGCATAAAACGCTGCTGAAAAATGCCGTGTTGCTCAGCTGTTCATATCAGTCATAGATTCCTCTGTCCTTCCGCTCGATGCTTCCGAGAGATGTGAAGCTCTCCCTGGGCTGATGACCGAACCCGATGTACTATCGATATTGCTCGTGAATGGCCGAGATTCGCCAGAGCATGTCTGCACTACCATTACCAGCAGCTCCAACGGGAAATCGATTCGCCCTCGTTACTTCGGTCAACAACAGCGCACCTATCATTATTGTTACGATTCTCTCTCTGGCCTTCTCGTTTCTGATCTTTGCGGTCAGGCTGTTGTTCGTCAAGTGGAGGCGACTCGCACTGGATGATGCTGTCCTGGCTCTAGCGCATGTATGAAATCTGCCGCCAGTCCTGATGTTGTGGTATTGACTAGGTTCCTAGGTTGTGGGGGTCGGGCAGTGGAGCTCCGTTTTTGTCGCGTTGAACAACGGTCTGGGGAAGAATTTGGCATTGGTCACTGGGACGGAGCAAGCTCGAATGGCGAGTGTGAGGATTCATCCCCATTGTCCCTACGTTCCTCCAGTATGTAGCCCTGCTACTGACAGTAGCATCTCAGGCTGTTCTTGCAAGTCGAACCCTCTTTCTGGTATCACTGTTCCTCTCGAAGCTATCAGTCCTCCTCGTTATCCGGTCATTGTTCTCTTGGGAGAGAAGAAGGAAGAAACTGGCCACCCATTTGGCGATCCTCGTTGTCGCTCTCTGGGGTTTTGCGGCAGCCCTGACGCTTTCGGTGCGATGTTCGCCGGATTATGTGCTTGGTAGAGGAGAAGCACAATGTCTCAATCATGTTCGTCCCTCATTGTAACGTCATGACTTTGCTGATAGCCCACAGTTGGTACGATTAAAAGCAATTATGGTTGTCGATATACTCACCGAAAGCGCAATCTTCGTCCTGCCACTCGTCTTCCTCAACGGCTTGCATATGGCTACACGAAAGAAGAACCTCGTTGTTATCGCCTTCTCTTCTAGACTTCCGTGGGTTCTACAGCTGCTCGTATATTGCTCTTGCTGACCCGGTACATTTGCGCAGGCTTATTATATTCTCGATTCTCTACCTCCGCTTTCAATCCAATTACATACGGATATCCAGCTCTGGTACCGCAATCGTCCCCGTTATACTCTTTCAAGAAATATACCTTGGTTACTCTCTCATGTCAGCGACCATACCTTGTCTCAAATCATTTGTCCAAGGCTTCACAACAGGAGGCGTAGGATACGAAAGGGATGAACCATGGTTATTCAGCACAAGCTCTTCAAGGGATAGGTTCAAGATGCGTTCGATAGCAAAGAAACTACCCTTGCCGACTCTGCCGCCCGAACCTCTACCGATGCCGCAGCCTGCGAAATTTCCGAGCTCACGATTACAGGATTCCATAGATACCACAGAGGGTGGAAGGTCGTTGAGAAGTCAAGGGTCGCAGCAGCCTATGATCTGGGAGGCGAGATGATTTTCGACTTTGAAATGGTGTATATTACGATGTAAAGTTATCATTTCTTTTGAGGAGCATATCGGGTGCCTACAAGGTCGGGCTAAGGGAAATTCATGGTAGAGGAGTTACGGGCATGGGACGAAAACATTGGTGCGAAGGGAAGGCTTCCGTCGTTGACTTTGTATATGAAATAGGCGTCTTCGATATATTTATCATTCCGCTAAATGGAAAAAAGATACAGTCCGGTCTCTCCTACTCCTTGACTTCCTCGACCTTCCGAAGCGTCAGCATAAGCTTCTCCCCCTTCGGACCTGCCAAGAAACTATCTTCCTGCTCAATCCCCTCGTCATCTACAATCTCTGTCTGAAAATTCGAATAAATCGTCACGATAAGGACCTTCAACATATACGTAGCGAAATGACTCCCAAGACACATCCTGCCACCGCTTCCAAAACCCCACCACCATCTGTCCATCTCCCTCCTCTTTACCTCACTCTTGCCTAGCCAGCGAAAAGGATCGAAGGTTGAAGGGGAGGGGAACACGGATGGATTGCGGTGCATGCAATGTGCTGAAGTCCCAACCGTTATACCCCCAGGAATGGTGTAGCCTTCAATGACGGCTCCACCTTGGGGAGTTACTCGCGGAAGGAGCGCAGGTGAGGGGGGGTAGACACGGATTATCTCTTTAAGGATCGCTTCCAGAAATGGCAAGCCATCGATGTCTCCATAGTTGGGAAGGTTTGCTTCTGAACTGGGAGAAAATAGTGGTGGGAGGGTCAGGAGTTCGGACCGGAGCTGGGCCTGAAGGCCAGAATCGCGCGAGAGCTCCCATTGGAGATAGGTGAGTGTGATGCGTGTCGTTTCTATTCCCGCGCCAAGGTGGTCGAGCATTTCTGATGCCACCGCCAGGTTGATGGGATTTGGCAAAGGAGACCCAGACTTTGAGAGGCGGGTTGAGAGTTCGGAGTACACTACGGGGTGTGATGAAGCACCAGACAATGTCTTTTGTGAGCTCGCTCCTGCGCTTTCACATAGAGACAGGATGAGTGCGTCAAGCTCTCTTGAAGCCTTCTCCTTCCCCGGAAGACCTCGAGTCTTGGTCCGAAAGTTTTGCATCGTCTCCTTTCGGGCCTTCATGTTGCGGATAAAGTCAGTGCTATTTCCGGTACCGAATAGGTATGAGGTCATGAAGTCCGCACCCAGTGCCTGATTGAGACTATATGCATCGAATGGCTCTGCGCTCTCAGCAGCCTTTTGAAGTATTGGAAGCAATCTCTCGACGATCAACACGCGCGACAGCTCCTGTAGGTCAATAGAGCTACGGATATAAGACTTCGAATAAACATGCGAAAGCATCCGTTTTTGTAGCGAGTGAGGTTTGTTCTCCAGCATTGACACCAGATTAGGAATACCGAGATTCGCAAGTTCAGAATACCACACCGTCTTTTCAAACGCGCCTGTATATATTTGGCGCAGGCCATCGAGCGACGCCACGCTTAGCTCATTGGGACTCAACTGCACGATCGGACCAAGTCTATTGTGAGCTGCAAAGATGGATTGTATTCCGGTCTTACCATTTCGGCGCTTCGAGCGGATCCAGAGGCTGGAGACGGGAGCGGTGAAATGTGCTGGGGGGATTTTTGAGAGTTGGGAGACAAAGACTGGGTAGATGACGTAGCGGTAGAGAAGCAAAACGGTAGAAACCAGGGTGAATAAAAGAGGCAAGTTGAGCATGATGTCGTTGAAGTAAGGTGTAGCATGAGTTCAAGCCGCCAGGTTTCTCAGGTTGCGTGGGCGAGCTGACTAAGCCAATAGAAGTATCCACGGGCCAACCGCCCATACCCCCCAACCGCCCACCCCTTTTCACAACAACGACATAAATCCGAAATTTTGAGTAGATATTTGTAATCAGCGACCTGGGTATAGTAATTCAGGAAGTTTTTAGCATTTTCCTAGTACTTTAAAAAAAATCACAAAATTTTGGTGTTTTACCTCTAGCGAGGCTCTAGTGAGGAAATTGATAGCAGGGCAAAAATAACAAAATTACTGCCTATGGCGATTCTAGCCGTATTACTAGTTTGAAATAGATATATAGCTGTCAGGATATCGAAAATACTATAAAGTATTAATATATAATAGGATTTGTAATTATAATGAAGGTATAATTAAAAATCGAATGTTTTAGGGTGGGCGGTTGGGGGGTATGGGCAGTTGGCCCGTGGAGCAAGCAGTGTGTGGTGCGGTGCGGGTCGTATATCCCAGATGGCGATTGCACCCAGTGATCTTGCCATTTCCAGGAGATCGTTGAGATACCTTGGCACACTTACCATACTGAAGTTTTTATCTGAATTTTTTTTTTAAGCTAAGGCTAAAAAAAGAAATTAAATAATTCAAGTTTGGTTTGGCCCTCGCATATACTTTTATTATAGTGCTGGTATTACCAGCCACCAAACCTCGATATTACTCCATGAGGCGGGATATTATGTTTTCATAATTGCCAAATATCTTCAGGGTAATAAATCTATTGGATATACTTCTCGGTGGTGGGTTTCCCTTTATCTTAAGGACCTTACCTTTTTTTGCCACGCTGCACATGACTAGAGGTCGCTGGCGTTCATACGCACCTGTATCAAACCCCGAGCAGTAGCAATGGGATGTAGAAACGTATAAACATTGGCTTGGCATAATTGAGAAATAACAACCGAGTGCCAGCCAGAACTTGCTCGCTGGACTTGCTATAAGTTACGTTTTCTATTCTCGTAATTCTCTGTCTCGCTCACATTCAGCCAGCTTCGCAAAGGTAAGGTCCTTAAGATAAAGGGAAACCCACCACCGAGAAGTATATCCAATGGATTTATTACCCTGAAGATGTTTGGCAATTATGAAAACATAATATCCCGCCTCATGGAGTAATATCGAGGTTTGGTGGCTGGTAATACCGGCACTATAATAAAAGTATATGCGAGAAGCAATATAAAAGAATAATTAAAATAATTCTTCATATTAGAGTTCCTATAATTAGGAGAGACAGTATTAGCAAATAACAGAAGTTAATTTTTATTAATTTTGGTTAATTATTAGTATTATAAACGGTGAGAGAAAAATCGATTTTTTGCTTGGGCGGGAAGTGGGTTTGGGCGGTTGGTGGGTGAACCCTTCCTTCTACATTCGTATTCTATTCATTTGACACATTGGCGGGGGTTGATCGTACGCCGCTGGACTCAAGTCACTAACCCGAATTTCATTCAATCCGTTCATTGAGCACAGCCCTAATTTGCAGAATACGTTCGATGATCCCAAATGGGTCGATAGGCAGCCGCAGGTGGATAGTTAACTCTCGCTATTGCAAGTTTTTGCTCAGGGCGTTGTCACCGCTGTTTCACTGGGGGACACTTGGTCTCCGACTGAAAATTTCTGTACCTTCTGGCAGCTATTACCCTGGCAGTTGCAAAGGGATGTCGTCGTTGGCTACTTCGTATTGCCTTCAATGTACCAAGATCGATTTCGACTTCTTTACCAAACATTGTTTAGACCGTGCTAGGCATGCGGACCCGGGGGACTTCAACGTGGAATTGGGGTACCACTCAATGGATAAATGTGTCAATCACAGCTAACACCGGTGATACATCGTAGTGCACCTCGTATGTTTCTTCTCACAGTCATATCAATGCTGACGCTTAGTAGCGATCAATTTGTGGTTACAAGCTCAACAAGGGTGATTTCAGAAAATCCAACCGATCGTGTCATATCCAGTACTTGGATACATTTATTATTGGCCTAGCCGCGCTCATAGATCCACGAGGCTTGATGTGATAACCTCTCTTCAGCCAGACAGGATAGGGAATAGTCTAAACTTAGTCCAGTCGGACCGCATTTTGACTATTTAGTCCAGTATTATCGTGTTATAGTCCAGTCTAGTTCGATTAATTAGGACTGAGGTCTGGGGCCCCGGACTACGATCTGGACCGCGGTTTGATCTCAGTCTGAGGGGGGGAGCTCGCTTAATTTATAAGAGAACTACCTTTAGCGTCCTATTTATTAAAACACTTAATTATTAATATATTAAAATTAATTTTAAATTAAGAGATAGCTTAGATCTGGGGCTTTAAAATAAATTAAATCTTATAACTCTCTCTAAATTTTTTAATATATTTATTTCTCTTTTCAAAAAGCAAAGCAAAAAAACTCTAAGAAATTTGTGGGTTTATAAATAAATAAGAAATAAAATATATATTTATAAATACTTAAGAAAAAGAAAATTAATTTTATTAATTTTATTTAGCTAATTATAAAATTAGTAAGGAAATAAGTATTATATTTAATTATTTAAAGCTATATAATATTATAAAGGATTTTGCTTAAGATACTAAAATAAAAAATATTTAATTCATAATAAAGAATTCTTAAAAGCATTAAAAACTAACTAGTTTAATAATAAAAGTCTTTTTTTATATAAAAATATTATTAAGGTTCTATATATTAAATTTATCTCTATTTATAATATATTATTATAATTAATTAATTAAATATCCTGAATTTCGAGTTTTTTTTAATTTTTTTTAAATAAAAATATTAATTATTAGCTTTCTTTTATATATAAAATAATTTATAATTAAATATTTTATTAATTTAAAATTAAAAGAAATAAGATTAAGCTATAATTTAAAAATATATTTATTTTCTAAATATATAAATATCCCTAAATAATAAGCTAATTCTTAATATTATTATTACTTATTATATATCGAATTTAAGAATTCTAAAATAAGTTATATTAGTTATAAAGGAAATTAAAAATAATTATAAAGGAAAGAATCTTATATGAGTATTTATAAATATAATTTATAATTTCAAAATTATATATGAGCTTAATTATATTATTATAAATAATACAAGTAATAATAATATAAGCTTTATTAATTAATATATACTTTATATAATAATTTTATAAGTATTAGTTAACTTAGCCAGAATTACTTTATAAATATAATTTTATTACTTAAAAACTTTATTATTAAAGCTATATAATTAATATATTAATTAACTTTTTATTTATATTATTAATAAAATGAATTTAAAAGAAAACAAAAACCCTAATAAGCTTAAATAGATCCTTAAAAAATTAATTAATAGTAAAAGTTTAAGCTAATTAAAAAGCTTTATAACATTATAATAAATATATAAAAGTAATATTTAAAGAATATAAGAGTTTATAATATTAGGTAAATAAAATTACCTTATATAAAATAATAAAATAAAATAAAACTTTATAGCTTATATAATTAAAATAATAATTATTTCTCTTATTTATAAAACTATTAATTCTTATATAAAGTATTATTAATTAGAAGAAGTTAGTAAAAATAAGCTTTTTAATAAATACTAGGCTATATTATATAATATTTATAACTTCTTTAATAAATTAGCTTAGATTACACCTATATTAATATCTTTTATATTTATAATAAACTTTATTCTTAAGTAATTTAAATAAAGCAAGAAGTAATATAAGAAAAATAAAATAATAATATTAATATATAATTCTAGTTAGGCTAAAATAAAAAAGTATTATAATATAATAATAAAAAGTTTTACTTATATTATTATACTTATTTTGAACTCTAATATAAAATAAAGTAAAGTATATTAAGTTTAATTAAAAAAAGAAATAAGTTATATAAATATAAGTTATAATAAATAGCTTCTAAAATAATTATAAATCTGGTTTTTAAATCTTTTTAATAACTAGTATACTAGTATTTAAAGCCTTTAATAAAAATGCTTTCTTATAATAAAAAGAGTATTATTAAGTTATATTAAGTTTTAAGAATAAATATAAGAGATATTATATCTTTAAAGATATATATAAGATTAATTCGAGATTATAGTAATTCGAAAAAACTTAATAAATAAGCTATTCTAATTTTAATTACCTAATATTAGCTATTTTAAGTATTTTTATTATATTAATTAATTCTAAATATTTATTTTCTAGTATTAAATTAATAATATTATACTTGCAAAATAAGCTTAATATAGATATTATTAAGGCTTTTGAATACTTAAAGTTATAATATAAGATTAAAGGATAAGAGAGTGAGTTTAAGTACTTAGAAGAAGTTATTAAAGCTAAGATTAAGAAAATAGAAGTAGATCACGTGCAGACTAAGTAAACTGCAGTCTAGACTATGCCCTACCCTGGCCAGAAAACGCCTCCCCTAGGGATCAAACCCCCAAATTATTTTGCAGTTTATTCTGTTTCATGCATCACAAGTCCTATCATGGAACCATTTGCAATGGCACTTCGTGTTTGACACCCAGTCCAGAATGACAAATGTCATAACGTGTATTTTTGTTATCTGCTCCCTAATTTCTTTCCCCCATCAACAGTCTACCTCCTAGGTCGTGACAAACGAGTGACTAAAAGATGACAAAATCCAAAAACAAATGACGCAACTATCCAAACCAAACCCTTCCGTGCATGGCACTAAGAAGCCGCCTCTCCCAATCACATTCTTGAAGGCACAGCTTCGAGATCTGGTCCTGAATGCGTCTGGGGATTACTAGCAATGTCCCAGGTTTTCTAGACCAGGAATCAGAGGCTCGATTTTATTAAGACAGTCCCAGGAAACTTACCCGTGGTGCAGGTATCATCAGTATAAAACCCATTGACATAACATCCCCAATTAACAGCATAATCCCAGCTACTGTTGAAGTGATTAGCCTGCATTATCCTAATATTCCAGAGAGAAAACCAGTTCTCCCTCCAACATCATGTCTGACGTACCAATTTTCTTCAATACACGAGCCCGTATCATAACAGCTGAATGTGTGGGTTGTCCCCTCATCGAATGTAGTGCGGACAGGGTAAGAAAGCCCTGGACCTTTGCGGCAGTTGACGGGGCCGCCAGAATTGACGATGAAGCAATCTACTCTTGCATTGGTATTGGCTAAGCCAACTCCCTCGGCTTCCCGGATGGCCAATCCCCTTGAGGAGATGTCAGTGACGGGTGCTGGAGCAGCAAGCACCGCGGCCGGAAGGAGAAGGTAGGTAGCAGTTGACAATAGCATTGTTGACGGTTCTCCGTGAATTACTCGTTGATTGATACAAATTGAAGTTGGCACAGAGCGAGATTACTCTTCATTTCAAAAAGCGCAGCGCCCTTCATATACTGTCCAAAACTCATGAGCTGTTGCACAGTTACTATCAGCGATCTCGATCTTCAACTTCTTCGGAGAGCCTCTCGTGAAACCTTTAATGAAGTCTGCTGATCTGCTGAGTTCTCTGAAAATGACTGCCATACAGTACTCTTAGGGCTTTCTCACCAAGTATCTATGCACTTATCCGAAATTTACCAGAAAAACAGGTTTAATGACTGACTAGTTTTGGGCCTGTACAACAGCGCACGAAGGCAACTGTGGATCAGAGTGTTCACCTCGTATTTTCGAGGAACACAAAATTTGCATGACCGGGATCAGAATTTTTTTTGATGCTTGGACTGAAAGACGTCCTGTCTTACATAGAAAGAAACAGACTTCTAGACGAAGACACGATATGTAGACATGAGACGTTGCAACTGGAACGTTTCACCGGGGCGTTCGGAAGATTTCTGCGAGGTAGCATCAGCTTTCAGCTTTCGAGGAAACAAAACTAAGCTTTACTTCCTAACGTCCGTAACGCGGGGGTGTATTACTTGGTAGCTTATGCGTAACCACCCACAATCGTTTTGGTACGAATCTGCTAATGACGGCACTGCAAAACTCTCTACGGCTGAATTCTGTTCTCTCATCTGACCCAGTGTGTCAAATGAATAGAGTAGAGTAGAATAACGGCCGTTACTCTTATTCTATTCAAGCTAAAAACCCGTTACTCTTATTTTATTCATATATTATTCGAGTTATTCATGAATAACTTGAATAACGCACGTGATCCGTGTACGTGATTGAGCTAGCCTAATCGGGTAAGGCTTCGGGGAGGCCCGCACCTAGCGTTACCTAGCGCCACCTCGCTACCCAATCAGATGGTAGTGGCGCTTGGTAAGCGAATCGAACCTTAGCGATATTTCCAGAACTACCGTAAATTACGATTATATTAAATTACTAATACAAGAGATAGAAATTAGAAATCAAAGGACTAGAATCTTCGAGCTAAGGCAAATCTTTGTAATTAGAAGAATCGTAAAGCAGACTTTAGAATATTAGAACTTTCTATAAGAATATGCCGTTTTCCTCGATTTCACTTCTTTCTCATACTTTAATTTCTTATAAAAAATTAACCATTACTATTACTATATTACTTTATATTATATATACTCGAAAATGTCTTAAGACTCCTCAATTAAGCTTAATATAAGTCAAAATCACCCCGATTTCGAATTAAGGCCCCTTAATAAGCAAACTTCTTTTTTTAAGAAAGGCTACTTAAAAAGGATACTAAATCCTATATAAGAGAATATCGAGGATCTCCGTATATATACTATTAAGTATATAATTAAAGGGTATTTATAAGTTAATATATTAATTTTTAATTAATTTTTTACTAATTAATTTAATAGTAAAACATGGCTTAATTAATAAAGATTACTAGGCAAGCTCTGGAATCTTAAGTGTATTATAAAGCTTAATAAATTCTGTCTAGCGAGAAGTTATTATTTGAGTAAGGCTAAGCGAGAACGTAATTCCCTAGTAACCTCCCCGTAACTGAAAAAGCTAGCGCCTATGCTAGATATATAGCTTAGTACTAAAATATATAAAAGAATCCGTATATTAGGATTTGTTAAGGATATTAAATTCCCGCCGTTTTATAAGGGATATTAGATTTCCGTATAAGAAAAAGAAAAGGAAAAAAGAAAATAGCCTAGTAATCCCGATTATTCCATACCTACTAATATAATACTTTTAGTCTGACTCCGAATTATCTCGTTATTATTAGGTAAAAAAGGAATAATAAGACTAATTTCTCTTCTTATAGTTACCTGACCTCGGAATACTTTATTCTCTACCTAGCTCATATACTAGTTACTCTTGTAATATAATATTTGGAAACTCGAATTCGGTACTTGATTTTTCTAAAGTTTAGTAAGTGGGATATACTAGTTTTGAGACTCGGAATCGGTAGCTTAAGCTTAATTATCGGAATTAGCAGGATTATCGGAATTAGTAGCTTGGGCTTAATTATGGGATTCGGCGGGTTAAGATTTAGTAGCTAGATCTAGTTTATAATAGTCTTAGTTAGAATCCTAATTATTATTAATTATAATAGAATTCTATTTGGGTACCGGAGTCGGGATTTCCTATTTGAGGGCTAGGTAGCTTTTTATATTTGCTCCAGATTTCTATATTAAATACCAAGTATTTTGGTATTTAATTATTTACTTATTAGGACTATTTTCCTTACGAGAGCCTAATATATATATAAGTAGGATTAGTAAAGAGGCTTATATTTCGGAGATTAGAAATACCAAAGCTTCTTCTTCTATAGCTTTCCGCTTATATTTTCTATTCCGGGAACTAAGGAATCTTGTTTTAAGAGTACTATTTTCTTAGTATATTTCGTAATTAAAGCCCTATTTGCTCGGAATTCTCTCTGGTTTTAAGATAAGATTAGGGTTATCCAGGATTTCTCCCTTGAATTCTAATCTAATTAGTATTAGGCCCTCGGGTTTTAGTCCTGAATATAGTAGTAGCTTTTGGTAAACTAGAACTATATTATTAATTTCTTATATATTAGCCAAGTGGCCTTTTAGGTTTTCTTTATCTGGCTATATTATATACCAAGAACTCCGGTACTAGACTAGCTATTTTACTTAACTATTCTTTAGGTAATAGTATTATATATATTCTAGTAAGATATTCGAATAAGTTTTCTCGGATTCCCGGAATACTAATATTTCTCCTAAGATTATTACCTAATTATATCTTTTCTTACTAGGACTAAGAAATCTTATCTTAAACTAGCTATATCTTTAGTATATTTTATAGCTATAGTCTATCTTGCCTAGAGTTCTCTCCGGTTTCCAGACTATAGGAAGGTCTTTTAGGATTTCTTTGCCTTTGGGAAGTTCTTGAAATTAAACTAATTTCAATTTTGCTTTTACTAATAATTTCGGAGGCTTTAGTTTAGCGGCTCCTTATAATATACTTTATTACTAGAAATCGAGCTTTTATTAGTATAAATCTATTAGATTTCCGTATATTTTATAGTACTTCTTTGAATTTACTAGAGGCAGCGAGTCTAATTCTTCTTTATTAAGGAAATTTACTAAACTATTATTAGAATTAATAAATCTTTCTATATCTAGTATTCCGGAACTATAATAACTATAGGCTAAGGAATCCTATATAGTCGATTTTGCCGATTTCTTGCCTTTTAAACTAATAGCTAAAGCTAGTAAGGTAGCTTTTTATTTTCCGTATCCCCGATTATTACTATCCTAATCCGAACCGGATTTAGCTTTAGGTTCAGGTTTAGAATCCGTATTATTATTTATAGGGCTAGGCTTACTATTCTTAGCTATAGTATTCTTGGAATTATTAAATTCTAATATTACTTTCTTTAATATTATTATAAATCTATTAATAATAACGATTTTATTACTTATTTAATTCTCTTTAAACTTTATAGAAATCTCTATTATATCCGTAATAAGCTATTTAATATAATTCTTAATCTCGGAAACTCTTTATCTAGCTACTTTCTAGAATTCTTCTACTAGAATCCGGTTCGTTTTTTCTAGTATATTAGATTTCTATACTAAGTCCTAGAACTCGCCTATAATCTACTAAATCTTTTTCTAAAGCTTTGTATTTTCTATCTTAGTAATAGTGGAAATCTTCTCGGGAAGTAGATTAATTCCCAGAGACTACTTTATTATTAGAATAGTTAGTAATATTAGGGAAGTAATTGCTTTTACTCTTACTTTTCCGGGGTTCAGAATCCTATCTGCCTATTTTTCTTCTTCTTTTATAAGTATATAATCTTTAAGAGACTAGGTACTAATTTTGTTTTCCTAATCTAGTAAGTTTTCATATATTACTATATCTTGGATTATAAGAGGTAATTCGTTAGGGCCTAGAAAAGAATAGCTAATATTTCCTTATATCTCAAGAAGTTTTCCCTCGGCTATAAATACGAATACGAAATTAGCTATGGTTTTTTAGCTAATCTTTCTGCTTTTAATTACTAATATTCCGACTCCGGTAGTATGGTCTAACTATTACGAATCTGCCTATTTCAGATTAGGATAAAATATTTATTTACTATTAATCCCGAATAGTAATCTCTAGTCGGATTCCTCTGGCTCTGGATTAAAAATCAGAACCTATTAGATATTATTTTACTATACTTTATTTATATACTTCTTATATCCCGATTTGCCTTAGTATAGTCCTAGTATATATTCTAATCCGAAATTTGCATTTATAGATTTTAGGCATATATCCAGACCTATTTCTTTTATTATTAGCTAATTTCTTAGAGATTTACTAGAGCCCTTAGTAGGGTTCTCAGGCGGTTTAGGTTCCGGATTCTGAGGTAGTTTAGAGTTCTGGGGTGGCTTAGTTATAGTAGTATTAGGATTCTGGAGTAGTTCAGGTATAGTAGTATTAGAATTCTAGGGTAGTTCAGGTATAGTAGTATTAGGATCCTGAGATAGTTTAGGTATAGTAGTACTACTATCTAAAGCCATAGTAACTAGAACCGAAATCGGGATAACCGGGTTATAATCTAGTTTCTGGCCAAGGGAAATAAATAGGGTACTAGGATTTCTAGAAAAAGATTCTAGATATAGTAATTAATATTTAATATTAAAGTTAAAGTTATTATTAATATTATTAAAGAAATATAGAAGATTAAAGTGCGGAAGCTTTAAAAATAGTAATAGCTAAGTATATCTAAAATAATATTTACTTTATACTAGATACGACTTATTTTTATATATAAATATTATATTTCTATAGATAATTATAATAGTAAAGAGCCAGGATATAATATAATTAGGATTTCCGTGGTTTTTCTTCTTTATAAATCCTCTTTCCCTTAGTATAATTTCCTTATATAGCTTATTACTTTT